GTGATGGGAAGGAAATAGGCTCTAATGTCACACTTTTGAGTGGCTATTATAATGCACATGCACATACACAACAGAACTGCAGTACAGGTAAAGAAGCATCCTTAATTCTAGTGCTTCCTAATATTGAAGACCTGGTCTCTCCATTGAACTTTGTACTTATAGAAAGATTATGAGCAGGGATTAACTAATCAGCACCTGTCTCAGTCTGTTAGTGTATGTCTACACTATCCCCTTGTTCGAACTAGGGGGGTAATGTATGCATACCGAACTTGCTAATGAAGCCCGGGATTTGAATTTCCCGGACTTCATTAGCATAAAGCCGGCTCCGCCATTTTTAAAAGCCGGCTTGTTCGAACCCCGTGCCGCGCGGCTACACGCGGCACGGGCTAGATAGTTCGAACTATGTAGCCATTCCGATCTATCTGTACACCTCGTTCCACGCTATTTCGAAATAACTTATTTTTAGATTAAAAACACTGTGTAGACGTGGTCATTTCGAGAAAAAACCCTTCTTTTGAAATAACCCATAAACCCCATTTCATAAAGAGCAGCGGTTAATTCGGAAGAAGGGTTTTTTCTCAAAATAACCACGTCTACACAGCTTTTTTTTAGCTCGAAATAGGGTATTCGGGGGTAGAGAGCCAGACGGCTCCTCCTCTGTGATGCTCCCCTCCTGCCTCAATATTCCTGGACCAGCTCCCTGCCTGGTACTGCTAATTGCAGCCCTCCACCATTTTCCCAGGAGTGGCCCTAGACGAGCTGCCGGCAACTGGCACCCTAGAGGAAATGCGTGATCGGCGCCCTTACCTCTAAAGGCCTCAATGGCCATTTATCTTGGTGCCCTAGGTGACCGCCTAGGTCACCTGTATTGATGGGCTGCCACTGCATTTACCTTGTTTGGCTGCCTTTCCCCCACTCTGTAGCAGCCCTCTGGCCTGACCTTGTGTCACAGCTTGCTGGAAAGACCTTTGTTCATCACAGAGGGGTCTGGTGGGCCTGCTCCCAGTCAAGCCCCCTTCAGTGCCTGTGTTCTCCCTTGGGGAGCCCCCCATTATAAACAATTCCTGAGACGGTCCATGGGCATGTGGATTCTCTTCGATGGGACCATTGGCAGTGCTAAGCTTCTTTCGTGCTGCCTGAGAGGCTGGGTGTGAGTGTTTCCAACGTTACACGTATTTCAATCACACAGAGAAACACGCACGAAAGCTTCTTAACTCCTGTTACAGAGACAGCACCAAAATCCAGAAGGACATTGACGCTCAACAGATCACAGTTGTTGGAATGACACCTCACAGGGCCTTCCATGAATAAACCATCCCCTCATTCTATGACGGGGGAATATGGAGGTGCCAGAGTGATGCCTGCAGACCGAGACCGGCACGGTGGTTACCAATCTTGCTATTTTTGAAGCATGAAGAAGGGGGAGCAGAGCTGTGCTGAGCCTGTCCTCATGGAGGGGGTCACCCCAAGCTGAAATAAATTGGCAAAGCCTGAGGCTGGGATGCAGACCATGGGGAATATGAGAGAGAGGAGGGGTGGGCAGGTGTCTGCCAGGAGCTGTGGGCTTTCACCTGCCCCGCCCCACTGCTCAAGGACAGAGCCAAGTTGGTTCCATGGAGAGTCTTTTGTTTTGTTCAATACTCACTGGCATTAAACCACTCGTGGGGCAGCATTTCTGCCCTGATATAATATGACGGGCTCTGGGGCTGCCTCTCAGAGGTCAAATCTGTGTGGGTTGCCTAGAAACAGGGCTACTTACAGCACAAGACTGGGGGTCCTCCTGTATAAGGTGCATAAAACCACTCTCAAAGAGTGCCTTTGTTTACCACACTGTCCAGCAAGAAGTCCCAAACGCAATCCCCTTAGATGTTCCAGCTTTACCTGTGCTACAGCCATCGCCACACCTTACACAGGTGAGAGGTTGTGAAAACCCGTCTCCCCAAATCCAAACAGATTCTCCTGCTCCCAAAATACCAGGCACATTCCGATGTCAATTAATTGCTCAGATATTATTCTAAAGAGCCCGCTGTGCCAATCCTTCAACATATAAAATCTAAAGGCTTATTGGTAAAGGAAAGAAAGAAAAACTTGAGAGTAAAATTGTTAAAGAAATCAAAAATTCACACACAAATTACAAAGTTCCTCGTGCAGGCCTGTAGCAGAGATGGAATAATGTATGGTCTTAGAAGTCTCTGCAATTCATCGTCTGTTTGTATGGGACATCAGTCCTTCCAGGCTCAGCTGGTAGCAAAGATTCTCCTAAAGTGATGAGCAGGAGTGAAGGCAAAGATGGAAGAACCCCAAGGTCTCTTTTATTTCATTTCCCAAGCTCCTTGTGTTCCTTGTATGACAGAGAACCCCAGATGGAGTACGTCACAGGAGCAAGTCACCTGTCCATGCATGACTCTAAGGTCTCTTCCAGCTCTTCCAGTTCTATGGTTTTGAGGCAGCAGCCATGGCTCATAGATTGATCTTTAGGTCCACGGAAAAATTCCTCAGATGTGGATTGGCACCACTTGATCAGTCAAGTACTCCAGTCACTTGACCATCCGCCCTGTTACAATAGGTGGGGGAAGCCTGTCGATATCTCCCAGAAGCAAATATTTGGAGCACATACTCAAAACTTATATCTGAAAGTACAAAAGGTATGCATGTATAGGAACAGCATGAATAGATGCTGCAAAGTATAAGCTTCCAGTAGGCACCTCGCTTGGCCCACTTTGCACACAATTGGGGGAAAACTCACCACAGCAGGTGCAACAACGTTCTGCCTGTTGGACGCCCTAGAGAGCTCTGGCCAAAGCCCAAAGAAGGCGCCAGAGATGTGTGGAGAAAGTAATGCCCATTGGAAGACACCATCCCAACAATACGTTTAAAATGATGAAGTCTAAATTAGATGTCCCCCCTCAAAACAGAGCCCTTAGGTTATGTCTACACTGGTAGATTCTTGTGCAAGACTGGCCCACCCATTCTTGCAAAGTAAGATTTACAGTAGGGTGAGGTAAGAGAGGGCTTCTTGCACAAGAGCTATGCTCTTTTCTGACAAGTGTAAGCTTTTTTGGGCAGGGGCTCTTTCACAAGAGGGCAGTGTGGACGCTCTGCAGGGCTTTCTTGTGCAAGAAAGTTCTATGGCTAAAATGGCCGTCGGAATGTTCTTGTGCAAGAGAGCGTCCACACTGCCATGGGCGCTCTTGGGCAAAAGCACAGCTCACATTCGGCAATGTGGGGCTACGTCTAGACTGGCATGATTTTCCGAAAATGCTTTTAATGGAAAAGTTTTCCGTTAAAAGCATTTGTGGAAAAAAGCATCTAGATTGGCACGGACGATTTCCGCAAAAGCACTTTTTGTGGAAAAGCATCCGTGGCCAATCTAGACGCGCTTTTCTGAAAAAAAGTCCCAATCACTATTTTCGCAATCGGGGCTTTTTTGTGCAAAACAAATCTCAGCTGTCTACACTGGCCCTTTTGTGCAAAAGTTTTGTGCAAAAGGGACTTTTGCCTGAACGGGAGCAGCATAGTATTTCTGCAAGAAGCACTGATTTCCTACAGTAGGAAGTCAGTGCTTTTGTGGAAATTCAAGCGGCCAGTGGAGACAGCTGGCAAGTTTTTCCGGAAAAGCGGATGATTTTCTGGAAAAACTGGCCAGTCTAGACACAGCCTGGATGTTTTCTTGTGCAAGACTTTTAGCACAAGAACACTTTTGCAAGATATTCATGCACAAGAAGCCGCCAGTGTAGATGGGATGTTGCTGCTGACGTGTAAAGTGCAAAGATTTCCATTTTTTGCCACGATCAGACTTTGAACATTTTAGATATTTGAATATTTTAGAGAGGGAGCCATGGGAATCCTTAAAAACAATAGGAAGCTAGCAAGTCTTTGTGTTACGACTGGCTGGACACAACTGAGGGAATGAACCAAAGACCCCAGGGTAAGGGGCTGCCCTGGTTTGGAAGGCGTGGCCGGGAAAGAAACAGTTACAGGGTGAGTTTAGAGTAAGTTTGTAAGGAGTTTGCACTGAAGATTCAGTGCAGAAGTAGCGAAGCATTTTCTGTTATTTTGAGTTTGCAATCTACTTTGCTCGGCTTGTTCTCACTTATTCCCGCTTCAGTCCTACTGCTGGTACTTAATAAAATCGCTTTTATTTATTATCAAGCCCAGTGTAAATAATTGTTGCCTGGTGGAGCATCCAGTGTACACATTCCCTCTTTATTGCTAGAGGGGGCTCACCCAAGTCATTCATAGGGGTTTCTGATCCCTTTGGGGAGTGGTATCCCGGGAAGCTGGCCATAAACTGCATTTGCCTTGGACCTAAAGAGGTTCAACGTCTGTACTGCTCCTTGGGAGGGTATTGATCGCAGCTTGGTACCTTCGCTGGAGGGGAACAGGGAGCTGGCCCAGCAGGACCAGGCAGTGAGGAGCCCCAGAGAGCAGGAAGGCGAGTGGCAGTGGCCGTATCAGTACCCCAGGAGGTACCCCCAAGGGGTCGTCTGTGACCGCCCCCCATCACAGTGAGCAAGGTCCATGATTGCGCTTTTTGGTAGTAGTGATTTTAAGTGTGTTCTGAGTGTGGTTGTTAGAGGAGAGACAAATGGGGAGACTGGTTTGTTGTTTTCTCTTTGCTCATTGCGGGGAAGGGAAACTGAGTCAGGAAAATGAGAGTGAGGGCCAGAAGAAACGGGAGCTGCACAGAATCCAAGCAGCAGAGGAGGGGGCAGAACACAAGAGACAAATGGAGATCAAGTGGTTCAAGCCAGAAGCCCAAGCTGCTCAGGATGAAGCTGCTCATGGGAGAGCCTTGGAATGAAAGAACTTGAGCTGCGAGCCCAAAGGGGGGAGAGGGAAAAGAGAGGCAGCATGAACGGGCCGTACTTGACTTGAAGAATAAGTACCCAGTGATGCAATATTCACAACTGGGCTGACACTGCTCTCCTTATGATGAATCCGGAGGTATTGCCGAGTATTTCTTTGTCTTATGGCTGTCTGGACTAGTTCTGCCCCAAATGCCGAGCATCTTCTGGTTCAATTCCAGGGAGATCTATTTCAGTTCCTGCCTCACCCTTCTGTGCGTCTCAGTGATAGAGTCTGGGATCTTCGTGGCAATGGTGTTTGATCCCTACGTGGTCATCTGCCATCCCCTGAGACATTCCACCATCCTGACAAACCCCATTGTGGTTAGGATTGTCTTCTGTATGGTGCTGCATGCAACCTTGCTCACACTGCCCTTTCCATACCTGGCAGGGCATTGGCTCTACTGCAGAACCAACATCATCCCTGAGCCATTCTGTGAGCACATCGCTATGATGAGCGTGGCCTGTGGCGATACCCACGCCAACAGTTACTACGGCCTCTTTGTGGTTTTCATGGTTAATGGTCTGGATGTGATTTTAATTACCATGTCCTACATCCAGATCCTCCGGGCCATCTTCAGACTCCCCACAAAGGACAACCAACTCAAGACTTTTGAAACGTGCACCTCCCACCTCTGCCCAATTGTAGCCTTTTACATCCCAGGTCTCTTCCTCTCCCTCTTGCACCGCTTTGTACAGAATGTGCCTCTGCATTTCCACGTCCTTCTTACCAATCTGTGACTCTTGACACCCAACATTATGAACCCCATAATCTTTGGGGTGAGGTCCAAACAGGTCCGAGAAAGACTCTCTGGGCTCTTCCGTCATAAGGGGACCTAAAGTTTTCTCCTGAGGCTCTGTGTGTATGTCTGTGGGCGGGGTATTAAAGAAATGGAACCTTCCTACTAATGGAGAGCAAGTATTGGTCCAGATCATTAGAGTCACAGATATTTGATTGGCTGGTTGCAGAGGGAGCTGGGACGTGGTGCTGGGCCCTTTGACTTTTGGAGAGTCAAAGTGACTTGAAACCCTTTGCTGGCTGTACTGTGTCGTGTCTATGTGACAAACGGGGGACTTGGCCTGCGTACCCCTCCGTAACCTGTCATTTTTCCGAATGCTGGCAACTCGACCTTGAATCTTGAGCCTGCCCCACCCATTTCCACAAAACCCTGCTCCCTGACCCACCTATTTCATTGGGACTCCATCCCCTTCTCTAATTCTTTCATCCTTGCCCTGCCCCGTGACATTATCGGGTTGGGATATGACCCCATAGAGCATCATTCCAATGACTGTTCTACATTGTCCCACCTCTGGTACCAATGCTCTCAAGTGAGATATCGCTAGGTAAGTTACGATTGGCTGGTTATGCTTTTGCCATTTCGGTGCATGTGTCATCCTTGTACATGAGGGTATGAATATTTGCTGTGTGTATCTCAAATGTTCGCTCCTGCAGTAACTCTCAGAGAGTAGTAATAGAGATGTAGCCGTGTTAGTCTGGTCTAGCTGAAACAAAAGACAGGACTATGCAGAACTTTAGAGACTAACAAGATGGTTTGACAGCACGTTGGGGTTTCCTCTCTCCTGCACCCCCGTAGTGGCACGAACAGATTCTGCCAGCCCGTCAGATTGAGGGATTTTATTGCTTCTCCAGGATACAGCAGAGCACAGATATAATCTGGTTACAGGAACTGGGACCACGAGGCCTCAGCCCCCCCCTTTGAGATAGGGGGGTGGCTGGGCCCTACACTCCCAGTAACTGCCTCTCTTCCAGCCCTGCCCCCCAGTCAGGGGTTGGACCCTGCCTTCCTCCCTTTGTCTCTCTCCCTGGGAGGCAACTGGTCGGACAGGTTGGGAGACCCTTGACTACCTGACTCATCTCCTGTCCTGCTGGGCCGTGATACAAATAGCCCCCAGTGGAGGTCATCCACATCCCACTGCCCGAACCCAGCAATCAGCAAGGCACCACTGGGTTACAGAGCAGACAGCCTGCCAGACACACACACTACGCCACAGCTCTCCCCCCTCCGAGAGCGAACTGAGCAGGGTCACTCCGTTTGTGGCCTAGGGACATTCGGGTCTCCTGCCAGCCCAAGCCAAGGGGACATCTTATGAGTCTTTAAAGTGCTGCATAGTCTTGTCTTTTGTCCTAGGGTATGTCTACACTACCCCACTAGTTCGAACTAGCGGGGTAATGTAGGCATACCGCACTTGCAAATGAAGCCTGGGATTTGAATTTCCCGGGCTTCATTTGCATAAGCGGGGCGCCGCCATTTTTAAAACCCCGCTGGTTCGAACCCCGTGCAGCGCGGCTACACGCGGCACGAACTAGGTAGTTCGAACTAGGCTTCCTAGTTTGAACTACCTAGTTCATGCCGCGTGTAGCCGCGCGGCACAGGGTTCGAACGAGTGGGGATTTAAAAATGGCGGAGCCCCGCTTATGCAAATGAAGCCCGGGAAATTCAAATCCCAGGCTTCATTTGCAAGTGCGGTATGCCTACATTACCCTCCTAGTTCGAATTAGAGGGTAGTGTAGACATACCCTTATTGTTGTATTATTGTCGTACACCGCTTACAATGTGCATCATCTGCTAAACTATTTAACCAACACAAAAGAAAAACATCAGCAAATGAATGGCAATATGAAAAGAAGGGAGAACACATAGGTTAAAAAAAAGCTGCATAGAACTACAAATTGGGTAAACAAAGTCCCCACAGTCATTTCACCTGAACTGAGACACATGTTATTCCATACAAGTTTGTTCAGTGTCAGGATACCAGCACTACATCCTGGCACAGCAATCACTGATGAATTGGTCACTGCCCATTCCATAGGTTATCTGGAAAACCGTCTCCATAAGAAACCACTGGATCTACGTGCATTGCAGGGCACAGCAATGAGTGACTCAGAGCCGCTAGCTATTCTTGTTTCATGCCCAGCAAAGCTGATCCTAGGAGAGGAAACCAGCAGTGAAGGCATCCTATAAATGGAGTATACACTGGAGGGCAGGGATCAGGTCCAGAGACAGCTAGACAGATTGAAGGATTGAGCCAAAAGAAATCTGATGAAATTCAACAAGGACAAATGCAGAGTCCTGCCCTTGGGACGGAAGAATCCCAAGCATAGTTACAGGCTGGGGACTGACGGGCTAAGTAGCAGTTCTGGAGAAAAGGACCTGGGGATGCCAGTGGTCGAGAAGCTGGAGATGAGTCAACAGGGCGCCCTTGTAGCCAAGAAGGCAAATGGCATATTAGGGGGCATAGGAGGAGCATTGCCAGCAGTTCTAGAGAAGTGATTATTCCCCTTTAGTCAGCTCTGGTGAGGCCACATCTGGAGTATTGTGTCCAGTTCTGGGCTCCCCAATACAGAAAGGATGTGGACACATTGGAGAGGGTCCAGCACAGGGAGGGGGTGGAATCTCCATCCCTAGATGTTTTTAAGGCCTGGCTTGACCAAGCTCTAGCTGGGTTGATTTAGTTGGGTTAGTCCTGCGTTGGGCAGGGGGCTGGACTCGACTCCTGAGGTCTCTTCCAGCCCTGGGAGTCTATGAATGAACAGTGCTGAGTACTAACTAACTACATGGCAATTACGTATAAAGGCCTCCTTTGTGATGTCTCTGATCCCCCTTTCTGTTTGATTTCTGTGGGACCCACCCTTCCAGCACCTGCCCCCATATTCCAAAACACTCAGCCTCCTGCTACGGGTGAACCACTCACCTCTGGACCACGGATGTGGCGAGAGCAGAAAGCTCCAGCTGCAGACGTGGAGAACGTCTGGGAGCAGGGCTGGTCTGGACATGGCAGCCTGCAGGGACAGTGACCTGGGGGCAGGGAGCCTCAGGAGCAGCTGCTGCTCTGCGCAGGGCAGGGGGCAGAGAGCAAAGCTGCATTTCCCTTTCCTCCCCGCTTCATTACCTCTCTACCCAACCGGCTACTTGGCTGCATTCCCACCCACTCACCTCTTCTTTGTTATGTCCCATCCCCTTCTGCCCCCCAATCTCCCTCTTGTACTCCCACTCCCCTCCCCTCCCACCTCCAAACTCCCTCTCCTACCCCAGCCCCTCTCCCCTTCTGCCCCCAAACTCCCTCTCGCTGGCAGCTCCGACCCGCACACTGAACCCCTCCTTTTTTGTTCCACCCCACAGCCTAAGGAGTCCACAAAAATCCACTGACTCTGGAACCCCAGAAAAATAAATCTGTCCTATGGGAAGTCCCGAACCTCAGTAGGTCTCCTGATCTCTTCCCCTCGCCCTGCAGTGAGGGGTCTCAGCTGGGGGCCACATCCATGAAGGCTGGGAGGAGGTGTGTTTTTCTCAGTGTCAGGGACCCCCGACCCAAAAACGGTTCCCTGCCCCTGCCATAAATAAAGAAAACATTGAAACCTTTTGTGCCGAACATAATATTTTACTTTATTGAAAAGGAAGTTTGAAATAGTTAAAACGCTTAATCTGCTGAATTATTTCCATTAAAGTGTTCTCCCCAGCTGATCTCAGATGAGCTGCAGGCTAACCCAGAGCTCAGTGATTGTTCACGAAGTATTTCAGAAGAACTAGAAGGTTATTCCTGATATCTGCTAATCAATGGAGAGCAACAGCACAATTCCCCAAGCAAATGCATTATTCCAGCTGGTTCATTAACATCCACAGTCTCCTCATTGCCACTAGACCCCGTCTCACCCAGGCAAAGAACAAAAGGTAAGGTGGGAAGAAAATTCTCCCACCTGAACCTAGTCTGCCTCTATACTATGATCCTCTTCCACAAGAGGAAATGCAAATGGAGCGCTCATTTGCATATGTTGCACTCTCATTTGCATTTCCTCCTCAGATCTCTTTTGCACAAGTGGTTTTTGTACCAAAAAAACCGCTGTGTAGACAGCTCCTTTTTGCGCAAAAACGCATTTGTGCAAGAGCCTCAAGAGGTAGAACAGCTCTTGTGCAAAGGGGGTTTTTGTGCAAAAAGGAGCCATCTACACAGGACTTTTTTTGCACAAAAACTACCTGGGTGCTCTCTTTTGAAAAAGTGAGCCACTTTTTCGAAAGTACTGGCTGTAGTCTAGATGCTCTCTTTCGAAAGAGGCCTTTTTGAAAGAGACTTGCAGTCTAGACAAAGCCCCTTAATACGGGTGTTTCCTAATGATTGATGGAATATAGTCATTTCTTTTTCCATTTTGAGCTCCTCCCCCAAGTTGCAGAAAAAGACTTGCAGTCTAGAAATAGCCTGACACTACTAATAAAGCTGATTACATAAGAAATAAAGACAAATGCAAACTAACTCCTTTAAACTGGACAGGATTTTAATCAGCCTCTGCCTCGTACTGCTACCTACTATAAACAGACCCCCAGCTTTCTTGTCCATTGCTTCTGAAGTACGTGGAATTGGGCATTGTCAGAAGGAGGGATGCAAGCTGTGACAGACCATTTGTCTTACCCAGTATGGCCTTTCTAATGTTCTTATAAAGACTCCAGATATCTCTACCACCGTTGTAAAACACTAGACAGACTCCCCTCAGGCTATGTCTAGACTGCAGGCTTCTTTCGAAAGAGGCTCTTTCGAAAGCATCTTTCGAAAGAGCCTCTTTCGAAAGATCGCGTCTAGACTGCAGGCGGATCTTTCGATAGAGGAAATCCGCTTTTTCGAAAGAGAGCACCCAGCGAGTCTGGATGCTCTCTTTCGAAGACGGCCTCTTTACATTGTAGAACGCCTTCTTTCGAAAGAGGAACTTTCGAAGGAAGGCGTTCTTCCTC